CCCGCCCCAAAGTCTTTAGAGCTGCTGACGATGCTGCCTTCAGGGTCTGCTCGTAATCCTCTACGTCTGAATGATGACTGAAAAACACCTGGTTGATATATAAACAAAAACAAATCGAAAAAAATAAGGTTTTAAAAGGAAAATTAATGGAAATAAGATGTTTAATTGATATCTCAGGTGATTTGTTAATAGCTTGAAGTGTGAATAAAAAAAAAAGAATTCTTACAACGTAAATTTAATGTATTAAATTGCACACAGTCGACAAAATAAAAGCACAAAACACTAACCCGTGTTGTGTGGGGAGTAAGATCCAGAGGGATTGGATTGGATTGGAAATTCTTTATTGTGCCCAAGGGGCAATCTGGTTTGCAACAGAGATCCGTCCAGGCAACAGAAATCATAAAAACAGCACAAAGAAATAAATACTTACTTAAGAACATGGCGGCTGTGGCTCAGTTGGTAGAGTCGTCACCTCTCAACCAGAAGTTCAAGGGTTCAAACCCCAGCTGAGTAACTTGTCCAATGTGTCCTTGAGCAAGACACACTGGTTTATGGGTCTGTACAGATGTAACTTAGTGTTATTAAGCTGGTTAGCTACTGCCTGATAGTAAATAACGCTTATCCTTCATAAAATCAAAACGGATGAGATAAGGACAATACCTTATCAGACAAATAAAAGGGAGTGTGTGTGTGTGTGTGTGTGTGTGACTTCTGGAGCTCCTGAAGCCAGCCTCAAGTGGACACTCGAAGAACTGCAGATTTGTGCACTTCCGCATCAGCTTCATTCTTCAACAGCAGAGGTTGGCGTTTAGTCTGAAAAGGTCAAAGTGATACAATTAAAGGAGTGAATAGAAGAATAAAAGAGAGTAAAATGACACTTGGAATAATCATCACAAGAAGTTTCAAAGATTATAAGAGGAAGAGAAGAAGACGACATCACAGAAAAATAAACACAAATTAGAGGTCAAAGGATGAGTGGTCTCATCAAGTAAGCTACATGGTTTACTGAATGCTGCAGGCAGACACAGTTAGCGTGTAGCTGGTAAACAAAGTAAAGAGTTTAGAAGGTTAAGACTTACACGATTCCCTCAGGAGTAAGTCGAGGCTAAGACCTGAACGAGGAGTATAGACTGAATGTACATGTCAGGGGGCTTACTGTTTGCTGGAAGTGTAAATAAGGTCAAAATAAAAGAGGCCATGCTGTTTTTAATTGTTTCTCAGTTTGTCATGAAGCTCTTCTTCTACAAAGTGGCTAAAAAACCCTTTAAATGAACTTGAATGTTTGCAGTATTTCACTAAACTCAAATCACATCTCACCTCCATACATGACTGAATGTGTTCCCAACATTTATCTAAAATAAATATATCAAAACACCATCTTTTATTCTAACTAATGCAGAGTAACACTTCACACAGACTGGCTGCTGGCTGGAGGACCCGCCCACTAAGTCTTCAGAGCTGCTGACTGATGCTGCCTTCAGGGTCTGCTCGTAATCCTCTACGTCTGAGTGATGAAGACTGAAAGACACCTGGTTGATACATAAACAAAAGAAATAGAAAAAATAAAATATTTAAAAGGAAAATTAATGCAAATAAGATGTTTAATTGATATCTCAGGTGATTTGTTAATAGCTTGAAGTGTGAATTAAAAAAAAAAAAAATTCTTACAACGTAAATTTTATGTACTAAATTGCACACAGTCGACAAAATAAAAGCACAAAACACTAACCCGTATTGTGTGGGGAGTAAGATCCAGAGCAGGGATGGGTAACTTTGGTGACAGCAAGGGCCACACTCATTTAATTTTCACTGCCAGGGGGCCAAATTAAACGATTACAGTCGATTCTGTCTCAAATTAACTCAACATATACCAGTGATCAAATATTATTATGGACATATTTCTGGTTTTCATGATTTCATGGCAGATTTCATCATGTTTTCTTCATGTTTCCAATTAATTGATGTGTCAAAAATTAACCTGAGGTTAAAAGTTGTCCACCCCTGATCTAGAGGGAGGGAAACTTACATAAAAACACAACCACCATGGATATAATCATGGAGTACGTGAGTGCGATAAGTCCACAGTAAAAGTGTACATGCAACATTTCATGTCTTTGACGTCCTTTAAGCAATGCGCCCCTGTTTGTGACTTTTTACAAACAGCGGTTCATCAGCTGCCTGGCCAAGGGTTGCTGTCATTCAGTTCCTAAGGGCCTCTCTAAGTAATGCCACTCCAGCAAATATTTTTGTGGGGTAGGTCTTCCTTTTAATCGATGAATCGGTTGATGTTGTTTTAGTAGACTAAGATATTGTTTGTTGATTTCTACCCTTCCATAGCTCTGGGTTCAGTTGGGCTTAATTTGGGATACTACTTTTACTGTAAAATGCATTATTGTGTTGGCATTTTGTCTCGTTTTTTTTTTCATACATGCATTCTAAATGTTGTTGGCTCTTTCAAATGTAAATAAATATATGGATTAATTTTATAATTTGTGTTGATTCCATTTGTTTAGAAGCAGTTTGTGTTGTAAATTATTATGTAAATTATGGTTTTGCAATTCTGAAATTACATTTTTTTATTTTTTTTGTAGGGCTAAGCAATGTACAGCAGAAAAATATGATTACATAAATAACCCTATGCTGGGTGAAAATAAGCATATACTAATAATAACCCATTGAAAAGGTCAAAAGGAACCAACGTTGGGTCATTTTGACCCAATTTAAGAGTAAGACAGTTAACCCAACATGCTGGGTCATTCTTTGCAATGACCCAGTGCTGTGTAGGTGCTAGATTGACCCGGCGCAGGGTTACTATATAACCCATATTGCGTCAATTTGGACCCAGCATTGTTTAGTGTGTACATATTATTTAAAAACCCAAACTGTTGACGAAACAAACAACCTCAGAACACACGTTTAACCTCCTCCCTGTCAGCACAAGTGGACTGGGAGAAGGTGGAACCCAGGCTCTCAAAACGTTTCCATTTGACTTTTTTTTTTTTTTTTTTTAAGCCAACACAATCTACAAAGAGTGGGTATTTGTCCGACAGTCCGTGAAGGCAGCAGCAGATGCGGGTCTTATTTGTTTCTCTCCAGCAGGAGGGCGTTCCGCTGAGAAGACACAAACACAGTGCGCTGCGTTATGCCGGCTGGTTGACGTTTGGATGCTGTCAAAGCTTCGAGGTTTGTCTCACACTGAACATCCAGCGTCGGGCCTTCTTTGATGTTAGCCTTCCTGCTGGTTTCACTGCCGGGGGAAAGGCGACAGAGGAGGCCGGACTTGAAGACATGGAGGCTATCCGTCCTTGCAGAGGGAGTGAGCTGTAGGACGGTAGGCTCTCTCTCTCTCTCTCTCTCTCTCTCTCTCTCTCTCCCTCCCTCTCTCTCCCTCTCTCTCTCCTTCTCTTGCATTTCTTCCTCCGTTAAGAAACAATAAAAAGGTGGGCAGGTCAGGTAATGCTATCACAGCTAGCACTAGTTTTGCTTCAGCTGCAGTTTGAGTCTTTTTTCCTTCCTCTTCACCGTCGTCGTCCAAAGAGAAAAATCTTATTTTTGTGATCCACACGGACAGTAATGATGATGGTGGTGGTTTGAAGTCCTTTTGCTTCAGTCCTGGAATGGCTTCTGAGAAAAGCAAAAAGCCCTGTGACTGTATCTGAAGTGTTGGACATTCATTTAGCTCTGTTTAGATTTGTAGAGAAACCAGTTAAAACATGACATGAGAGGCTCACCAACACATTACACTGAGCAGATAGAAAAACAACACTAGTGTAAACTATAACCATGCACGAAGAAGTCACTAAAGGTTAGAGAAATGTTTGTTATAGTAAAGAATCTCTGACTAATTTTGAGGTTTAAGAACATTTTTTTAGGTGCCACAGATAAATCTGAATTTGTGAGAAAGTATACTGTAATGTAAGAATCTTTATTTGTTTAGTCAAAATGTAGAGAAAAAAAGGAAAACCGTCAGGGATTAAGTGAATTTCACATTTCAGCGCTATCAGCTTAAACCTGTTAATAGTGTAATAGTTAATAATGCATTCATTTATTTTTTAACACGTGCTATTTTGTCCCTTTAGGCTCACCGTAGATAGTCGTCTCCCTGTAGTCTCACTGCTGCGTCTCTGAATGTCTCATTTCACTTTAACAAACTCTCAGACAGCAATATTCACCTTATGACATCACACATTGACCTGATGACATCACACATTGACCTGATGACATCACACATTGACCTTATGACATCACACATTGACCTTATGGCATCACACATTGACCTGATGACATCACACATTGACCTTATGGCATCACACATTGACCTTATGACATCACACATTGACCTGATGACATCACACATTGACCTTATGGCATCACACATTGACCTTATGGCATCACACATTGACCTGATGACATCACACATTGACCTTATGGCATCACACATTGACCTGATGACATCACACATTGACCTTATGGCATCACACATTGACCTTATGACATCACACATTGACCTGATGACATCACAAATTGACCTGATGACGTCACAAATTGACCTTATGACATCACACATTGACCTGATGACATCACAAATTGACCTTATGGCATCACAAATTGACCTGATGATGTCACAAATTGACCTTATGACATCACACATTGACCTGATGACATCACACATTGACCTTATGGCATCACACATTGACCTTATGACATCACACATTGACCTTATGGCATCACAAATTGACCTGATGACGTCACAAATTGACCTTATGACATCACACATTGACCTGATGACATCACAAATTGACCTTTGTTAGTGTCCTCTTTTTTTTAAGATTTATTTTTGGGCTTTTAATGGATAGACAGGACAGTGGATAGAATCAGAAATCCGGGAGAGAGAGAGAGAGAGGGGAACGACATGCGGTAAAGGAGCCGCCGGATGTGAACCCGGGCCGCCCGCTTGAGACGACAGCCTCCATACGTGGGGCGCGCGCACTAACCACTGCGCCACCCCGTTAGTGTCCTCTTTAACTGTATTCATTTACTTTTTGATTCGTGACAAGTTCCTTTTTCTGTGGTTAAGTAAAAGTTGTCACCTTCCATCTACCAGAAGTTCATAATTTTCTTTCAAAATAAAGGCAGGTTTTTATCCAAACAGGAAGTAAAGCAGCCTCAGGTTACGTTAAGATGAAAATGCAAATATCCAAAATGAAAGTGCAACAAAAACTGTTTTGAAATGCAAATAATGGAATATTAAACATCAACAACTAGCTGTGGGAGTGTCACCCACCTGGGGGAGGGGCTACTGCCCTTTGTGATGTCATGAAGGGAAACTCTCCAAACGGCCTGTTTAAGCACACACTTTCTGAAAAGTGTAGCAGGGAAAAGACGGAGAGGATGGACTTTACTTATCATTGGGGGGTTTGTAGACGGACTAGAGACACATGTTAGTGTTAGAGAAACATGGGGAAGTGGATTTTGTATAATATGTGACCTTTAATGTTCTCTCTGGTGTGTTTCAGTGGTGATTACTACAGAGTGTCTCCTCTCATATTATGGACCCTGCCCACATTGGAGGGGATATGTCACCTTTGTATGTGCCACGAAAGAGAAGATCTGTCCAGTCACAAGCGAAAGGTGGAGTGCCATGTCCAGGTGAGTAAAAAAACTGTGAGTACACATCATCATGAGCAGCTGTCACTTTTTCATTTCTTTCAATGGAGAGGACGTTGACTGCACAGGGGAATATTTTCATTTTCCTCCTCTCTCCATTTAGCTAGAAAACATCCAGACATAAGACAAACAAACACAAACAACCTCAGCAGCTCACAGAAATCATGTTCTGAATAATAAAAGGTTGATGTAAACGGTTTCACTCTTTGATGCTTTTTGCTGTAAAAACAAAAAAAATCAGACAACTTCATCTCTCATTTTTCTGATTTTTAATCGACAGTTGTTCAGCGATTGCCAGAAAGGACGTGTGAGTTAAATTCAGCTGGATATCCCAAGGTGAGTGTGGACTCACACAGAAACACACACATAAGAGTTGATGTGTTTAAACATCCTGGTACTTTCACTCACCGGACCTTTCCCTTAAAAGTGCGACGTCTATAAACACAGCGGAATCTGTTCTCTACTTTTCTGTTCGTCAACCTTTCAGAATGACGAGTGTGAAGAGCAAGACGCCGTGAAGATGAAAAGAACCTACGGGAGGAAAAGGTGAGACACTCATCCACCTGTCCATCGTGTTTTAAGATTCTTTATAAAGAAATGATTTTCCTGGTCTCAGCTCATTGTTCAATAATCTGTAGTAAATGTAGAACCTTCTTTTTAAAGGTACGAGGAACTCCAGAGTGTTTCCATGGGAACGGTAGATTACCCCACCACCAGCTGCTCAATGATGTCATCGGGTGGTCCGTCAAATGGGGCGGATCCAGGGTCCGTGGCTCCGCCCACTGCTAGGCTCTCTCCTAGAACCGCGGGGAAGGATGTGTGGCCCGAAGGCCCCGAGGCGGGCAGGGATCAGTCGCAGTCTCAGGACCAGAGCTGGACCTCCAGCAGGGACCGAGGCCCCGACGCCTGGGCCCCCGGGAGAGACCGAGGTCAGGACCAGGTGTGGAACTCTGGCAGGGAGCGAGCGGGACACTCCAGTCAGGACCAGACTTGGATCCCAGGCAGGGACAGGGCCCAGTCTGGACCTGACCAGGCCTGGGTGACGGGCAGGGATCGGGGACCTGAGCAGGGCTGGGCGGCCGGCAGAGACCGGGGTCAGGATCAGGCCTGGAACGCAGACAGGGATCAAGGGAGGGAGCGGGCCTCCTCGGGGCCGGAGCAGGCGTGGGGGACAGAACAAAACCAAGACCAAGACTGGAGCAGAGACAGAGGGCACGTCTGGAGACCAGGTGAGTACCCCGTCACAACACTTTTACTTCATGTCCCCTCGTCCTGTTTATGTTCTTCACTCAACAGAAGCCAGAATGTCCTCCTTCTAAGTTTAGATTCTGGTCCTGAATGGTCTGGATTTGTTTGGACCAGAGAAAGTTTGCGGTTTTGGCGGCGTGCTGCAACATCCCTCATCTGACACCTACCCTGCGGCGGCTGTTTCAGACATCAAAATCCATTTTGTCGATCATGGTCTTGTGAGACCTCGCCTGAGGACACATCGGACATGTGTCTGCATGAGCTGGGAGTTGAACCCTGACCCTCTGGTTGAGAGACAACTGACTCTACCACTGATCCACAGCCACCAGTTCTTGTGCCTCTTATTAACATAGTATATGTGTAGTTTATATGATAGCATTTAAAATTCAGAAGTTTTCATGTGTTGCTGTTTCGTGTTTGTCTTGAAGGTATAAATATATTTGTTGTTGTACTGAGATATTTTTGTGTCCATGTTTGAGGTGTAAAAAATGTTGTCTCTCTCTCTCTTGGATGTTGTCTTTGTTTTTTTGGAGACTGACTTTCTTCTGCACATGTTTCTCATATTTTCTTTAAAGACTTGAACATGAAGAAAGTCAACAGAGGGGAGATGGAGCGTAGCCAACCTGCCAGTAACCTCACTCAGCCACCAGAGGGCAGCAGAAACTCATGTAGGTATTTACCGTCAAATCTGAAAAATCAACAGGCTGAGCGTGAGACACACTGCAGTCAATTTCAAAATAAAACACAATATACAGTCATCAAAATAACATCAAAACAGGCTCCAAAAGAACAACAAATAAACCTCAGACAGACAAAGCAGCATGATGTATGCACATGCATGTGGTCTGCAGAAATCATGTTTGTTGTGGGTCAGAATGAAACCCTGTCGTGTAATGTAAATATTTCAGGTTCAGATGTAAACAGTGTTGGCGAAACTTCCACAGCCCAACCCAGCGAGGATCAGAAACCGCCCGTCATCTCCACAAAGAAGGAGCCTCCTAGCTACCCTCCAGGTGAGACAGGCTGCTCACCGACCGCTGCTGAGAGGCTGAAAGTGCTTCTCTCTGTTTCTGAAATGTATGTTTGAGGGAACAACAGAATGCAGAAAATGCTATTTAATTTACATGTCACATATTATAACAGAACAAATCTGTACATCTATTCAGCAGAAAATCAAAATAAAACTGGGAATCAGAACAGCGGGGCAACTCATATTCTTCTGTGATATCAAACTCAAAAGTAAAATCTAAATAACATCTTGGTTTGTTGACGTCTGCCAGGAAGCCAGGAGGAGCGTTGGCAGCTTCAGATTGTGGCCAAAGGTCGAGTCACCTGTCCAAAATGTAAAAGTGTGAGCAGGAAGACGGTGGAGGGTCTGAAGAAACACATGGAGAACTGCAGACTGGTGAGCACTCGGTGTTTGCACGATGAGGGCCTTGATCAGAAAAGGATTGTGGCTGCCAAAGCTGTGCAAAAGAGAGAAGCGATATAAATAATGCACAAAGGGTTAAATCTACTTAAACTCCACTGCTAAGCGGACATTTGCATATATGAAAAGTAGGAAATTATGAGAAATTCCACTCAAAATTCCTGCTGCAAATACAGCATACAGCACATGTAGGATTCACAGCCCGGCTAGCGGTGAGCGACGGCAGTACGACTGTATCTCAGCTTTCAATCGCTCTGTCCCGTTTTCATCTTTCCTCATCATTCTAAGCCAATCGCGTCGCCCCGTTCTCATCTTTCCTCAAAAATGTTAGCCAATCGCGTGGCTGGCATTGCATCTTTGGACTCCGAGCCAATCGCAGCCCCGCAAGCTTGCGCTGCGTGCGAGCCAATCGGAAATGAGCGCTCGCCTCGATATCCCGCCCATACATTTTCGCCGGTAGCGGAGAATCCATTGAACGGGACTCGACTTCATCATCGCTCAAGGTAAACTGTCATCAATTAAACTATTGTCTGTCACTCATAATATATTATTTTCCCGTAGTTAGATTGTTCATTGTGGTTAGTTTGACTAGTTTGACTGACTGAATGTATACAGGGTAAACGCTAGCTAGTTAAAGAAACTTCGTTATCCAAGTTTAACGTTACGTTAACTTGACGGTGTTGAATAACTTGACGGTAAGAAGCCGGCCGGTCACCTTGGTTAACACAGACCATATCTTCATTCACTAAAATGATTGTTGCTGCTAGAGTTAGAGACGTGTAAGTTATGTTTTTATCTTATTTTGCCGTGTCGTGTTAACATCGTCATTATCCATAGGGTTTCAGGCTCCTGCATCGGGCCACTTCATCTAAAACAGAATATCTCATTCTAATTCTATATAGCTAACTTAGTTATGAATAAATAGAATCGCCCTATTTAACGAGCTTAATGCGAAAAGCAGATGTATTAGTAAAACATAATGCAGAGTTTAGTTGTGGTAGGCTGTTTATCAATAGATTTCATAATAGCCACGACTGAAATAACAGAAAAACTGAGCGGGACACTGCCCCCCCCCCCCCCCCCCCCTCCCCCCCCTCGTTGAATTTATTCAGTTCTGTATTTTACTTTTGCCATACTTTATCCAGTTTTTGTTCTAGTTATGCTGGTCTAACAATGGTATTATCCCACAGAGATTTATAAAGTCCTGTCTTATATTACATCATATTATGGTCGCAGCATTAGCCCATGTGTACATATGAAGGGAGTTGATGGGATATTAATTTTGACTTCTTTTGGCCACAGATGGCAACAAAACAAAAAAAGCACAAGGCTATGGGTGATGAGGAGTGGATGTCACGCCTGCGGAGATTCGCTGCTTCAGGGGTTTGGCCCTCTGATGCAGGAAACAGGCCTGCTCCCCGCCAGAAGAAGTGGAATGACCTCTATCTGAAGGTATAGTTGTATTAAGCAATTACAATACAGTCACACATGATAAAGCTAATAGAAACACTTGCTTATTTTTTGTCATGAAATATTACAGATTGACAAATGCCCGATGCAACGGAGGGGACAGGCATCTCTGTTTGGGGGGCCACAGACATGTGGCTGTGGTTTCCACACTAAGAAGGTATTTTTAAACTAACATCAAATTGTTGTGTGCACATTTTTTGTTGTTGTGTCGTTTGCTTGAAATGACTTCAAAAGTCTCTGTACATCTTTAGCCTTCCAGCTCAGTCCCTGACACCCCATTTCCCCGTACCACTGTTGGCACTGGTCAAGGGCAAGGCCCTTCAAGCGCTGCTGCTGCTGCTGCTGCCTCCTCAGCATCAACATCTGCTGGACCTGTGCAGAGGCCTGCTTTGAATCTGGCTATGGTAAATCATTATTCTGTTTGTGATTTTTACCCAATGACTCTTAACTACTGACTTCTATGTTTTACAGAATAAATAACATGATCATGCATCCTGTAAGATTACATTCATTTTCTTTCAGTTTACAAAACCACGGTTTGGCGGGTCGCATGGTGCTGCTTTGAAGCCAAATTTAACTGTGGCTAGGAAGCCTGCAAAGGTACAGTATGGTGACAGTCTAGGCATACATTTGATTTATAGTATTGCTTGTGACATAATTTCTCCTTGGTTAAATGCTTTATCATGTCTTATTATGACACAATGATTTATTATGCCTAGTAGTGATACATGATTTTGTAGATATTCATTAGCCTGTATTTCCTCCTGTTTCTCTCTCAGCCCCTTATTAGCACATCGACCAGTGCCACCACAAACGTCGACACTGCAACACCAACATCAGGGAGGACATCATCCCCTGCCCAGAGTCCCAGAAAACATATTAGGACCAGCTCCCCTTTCTCTCTTCCCCACTCTCCTCATTCATCAGCTTCAATAATCCCCCCAGCCACTGCTAAAGCTGTAAGAACCCTTTTCAATTGTGTTGTTCACAAATAATTTTTGTGTGCCAAACTTAACCTAAGCAGTTCAGTGATCAATGGTGTGTTCATGTGCTTAAATGCCTTATCATTGCCTGAAGCTATACTTCAAATTTTAATCTTATATGCCCAATAATGATACACGATTTAGTTTATAACCTTGTATTTCCTCCTGTTTCTCTCTCAGCCCCTTATTAGCACATCGACCAGTACCACCACAAACTTTGGCACTGCAACACCAACATCAGGGAGGACATCATCCCCTGCCCAGAGTCCCAGAAAATATATTAGGACCAGCTCCCCTTTCTCTCTTCCCCCCACTCCTGTGTCATCAGCCTCAATAATCCCCCCAGCCACTGCCGCTGTAAGAATCCTATTGATAATTTTTTGTTGTTGTTGCCAAACATCAAACCCTAACCTAAGCAGTTCAGTGATTTATGATGTGTTAATGTTTTATTTGTGTGTGTCTTTCTGTACATAATTTGTTTATTATTAGGTTGTAACAGCTGCTCCCTCCAGTGCCTCCTCAGACCCTTCTGTCTGTGCCTCCTCTACCACTCCTGGTCCTGATCCTCTCAGCAATATGTCAGCGGAGGATGTGTTGGCTGCCCCTGGCCCTGACCTACCCTGGCTGCCAGTGAAGATGAGGATGACCATCCCCCTCCAGGACCAGAGATGGATCTCTGCAGCTCTGTGGAGAAACCAGCGGCTACGGACCGACCTGAAGCTGTGGTACGAGCCACCCGGGCCAGCGCTCATCTACCATCAGGCCCCCACTCCAGAGCGCTTTTTTAATCATCGCCTGCTTGTGTGGATGCCGTACCACTTGTGGAAGGTCAGGCTAACCTGTCCTGTGTGTGGGAAGCAGCTGGTGGGATACGGTGCCCACAAGAGAGCCCGTCAGGTCCTTGACGTGGACAGGTACTACCTGATGGTCACAGAGACCCTCAGGTGCAACAGCATTGGTTGCAAAACCAACTACCTGTCCAGCAGCAAGACCATCCTGGACCAGCTTGACCTGGCTCACCGGCTCGAATTCAGGCTCATCCTGACTCAGAAGTGAGTATAAAGACACCACTGTAACGAGCATGTACAAAAAAATGTTAATGAGAATACATATTATTGTGTTACATTGTTTATTTGAAAATTGTCTGTAATTGAAACAGACTGCTATAAGAGGTTGGACTGTCTTTTTGTGTTTGTCTAAATGTCTCTGTCTCTTCCCTTTCTTTTAATACAGATATGCTTGTGACATTCGGGTCATCCGCTTCTGCGGGAGAGGACCCTGGGCAACAGCCCGTCTCGCTTGGTGAAGCAGCTGAGGGAGAACCACAGCGAGGAGTGGCTGCAGCGCCTCTGCCAGTACCTTGGGGCATGCTCTGACTTTGTGGGCCGGCCCAGCCTGTTCCCTGTGGTGTTTCAGGACCCGCCTGAGCCTGTGGCCATTCCCACCTATAAGTGGATGCTGGCGGTCTACGGGCGGGACATCTTAAGCAGGCTGGAGCACATCAAAGCCAGCATTACATCTACCTTTGGCTCCATCCTGAAGATGGACTCCACAAAGAAGGTACAATTCCTCATCACTGCTCTTATTCTCATGTCACAATTCTACAAAAACGTGTATCAAAGCATCACTCAAACTGACAAAATGACTAAAAAGGGATATTCTTCATCCCTAAGTCGCAATGTTAAAATGATTTTACCTGTAAAAGGCTGTTAAACTGTACTGAAAAAGAATGGTATACTTACAAAATGTAAATACATAAGTCAATACCAGACAAAATGATATGCTAGTTAGACCTAAGTCACTGAATGTTTCCTCTGTATACTTTCAGATCACCAGGAAGTTATCGGGCATTGCCAAGGGGACTGCCCTCTGGCTTTCCTCAGTTAGTAACGAGGTGGGTCAGATCTTGATCAGTGTCCTGACTGCTCAGGAAGGCTCTGGGCTGGACCTGATGGTGGCTGATCTCATCCGGAGGTACAGGGAAGCAGGTGTGGCTCCTCCAAAGCTCCTGTATGTGGACTGTGGATGCTGCAAGAAGGATGGGGAGGAGACCAAGCTTAAGGCACGATTTGGTGGCTGGCCAGACGTTGTGGTCAAGCTGGACATTTATCATTTCATGCGGCGGCTGGCATCAGGATGCACCAAGGATGCCCATCCCCTTTACCCCATCTTCATGGCTCGTCTGTCCTGCTGCATATTTGAGTGGGATGCAGGTGACGTTGCCTTGCTGCGCCGGGTCAAGAGGGAGCAGCTGAAACGGGAGGGGGTTCCTGGCATCACTGATAGCCTTGTGAACCAGAACATTAGGAAGAGTGAGTTGGTGCTCTACTGCAGAAGGAGGACAAGAGGAGAGAAGGAGACCATCTCAATGATTGACCTCCTTTTGCAAGAGCTTATGGGGGAGAAGGGCAGTGACTTCCTTGGTGTGCCACTCCTGGACAGGGATAGGATGGCGAACATCTGGGAACAGCAGAGGAAGCATGTAAAATGCATCCAGGATGAGCCAGGTGTTCCTCTCTACACAGAGACAGGATCATCCACCAAGGAGGGCATCGTCCTCACCACCTACAGGTGTGCCAGGGGCTCAACATCACTGGAGTCCTTCCACTGCCACCTGGCCAGGTTCATTCCAGGTCAGTTTCAATTAAGTATAACCTAGCTCTTTGACATAAAGTATTTAGCATAGAACATGTGTCACCTGACATTGTACAAATAGCTCATTGTATGAATTTAAAATATATGTTGTTTTTATTTTAAGGAACCAGTGCCAACAGTTTGAATTTTCAGCTGTACCTCCTGGAAGGCCTGAACAGGTGGAACCAGGACCGTGGTGCTGCGGCACTGGCTGTCAAACCTCCCTCACTCCTCACCTACTCAGGGGACCTTGTGCACTGTGTCAACACCTTCAGTGTCAAGGTGCTTGGAAGGAAACTTGCCCCCTCCTTCCAACCCCCTGCAGTGTATACTGGTGTGTGTCACTTTCCCATCATAATTAATGGTTTTATTTCATACCTTTTAGATATCATTATCATTACTGAGTGAGTTTTATAATAAAGTTTAACAGCTAACTCAGAGTACATATTTAAAAAGGCCATGCAACGGTTTTGTCTTTTGAAGAAGCTAACCTGCTTTTTTAAAAACTCAGAAGCTCTGTTGTGTTGTATGGTTCTGTTTAATTCAACCATGGTTAAGCCAAAAAACACATTTTCAGAAATGAGCAATGAGTATTCTCTTTTCGTTCCCAGGAGAGCTGATAGGTATTGACTACCTGTACCGCCAGACAGGAAGGGCAATGCAGAATGTTGACCCTGAAACAGAGGAGACGGAGCAACTGTTGGAGGATGTGGCTGTTGAGGAGCCAGAGGATGAGGGTTTTGATGATGGCGGACATGACCCCACATTTGACATTATTCTGGGTAAAACCCTCAGCCAGTCTGGCCCCACAGCTCCCACCACCAGCATTACCTCTGCCCCTCCTGCTCTAACCACCAGCATGCCCTCTGGCCACCCAGCTCCCACCACCAGCATGACCTCTGGCTACCCAGCTCCCACCACCAGCATGACCTCTGGCTACCCAGCTCCCACCACCAGCATGACCTCTGGCCACCCAGCTCCCACCACCAGCATGACCTCTGGCCACCCAGCTCCAACCACCACCATGCCCTCTGCCCCTCCTGCCCCCATCACCAGCATGCACTCTAGCCCCACAGATCCCACCACCACCATGCCCTCTGCCCCCCCAGCTCCCACTGTATCTGAGCAACTGTTGGTAAGTGTTTGTGTGATGTACTGCATCATTCTTTATCACATCTGTTTCTTAGTTTCCCTGCCAATATGAATATTTAGAATAATTATATTTTAATTTTGTTATATTTTCCAGGCTGTTGATGAGCATAACATGCCAGGGATGGACAGGGTGGACAGCCTGGCAGAGTACCTGGTTGGGCTGAGAAATGAGACGTCTCTCACTCTCAGCAACCAGCAGACCAGCACCATTTTGTCACTGTGGCAAAATCTTCTGCCATTTGACCAGCAGCGGGTGGTCTATGCAGCCAGGTACCAGGAGAGGCTGAAGACGGGGTACTTCAGGTCACCAAAAAATAAATTGGAATTCACCCCCGGTGCGGAGAGCATGAGGCGCTGCGTCCTGGGGTCAAGTGGATCACCGGCACAGTGGCCCGACTGTTGTCGGCTTGTGGAGGCCATCTTTGTCAGGCTCTGTCAGCTCCACAAGAGCCCAAAGAAAAAGGGAAAGGGCAGCCTGACAAGATGGTCTCTCATGCTGAAGGACTATAGGAAGGTTAGGCAGCTGGTGAGGGACAATGGAGCTCTAATGAAGGACACCACTCTCCAGCTGTATGAGGTCAACCAGACCACCCTCACACAGTGGCACAATCATAGAGTGAAGAGGCAGGATTTGGCAGTCCTTCTGCAGGGGGTCAACCTGCCTGCCCCTCTTCCTGTAGCCCCTGTGCCTCTGCCACCAGCTCTAGGGCGCCCCACCTTTGTCCCTCAGCAGTGTGGACCTCAGCATGTCTACAGCCTGCCCAAATCCACTGCAGGACAGGCAAAAAGGAAGCATGCTGCGCCACACACTGCTGCTCCAGCCACTGTCCGGCCAAAGGTGCCCATTCAGAGGCAGTTATTTCCCCTGCCTGCACCTCTGCCTACAGCTGCTCCTGCCCTTGTAAACCCTACCCCTGCCCAAAGCCCCTTGTTGTTAATGTTGGCTGTCCCCTCTCCCAGGCCTATCGCCCCTGATGGACCTCTTCCCCCTCCACCCCTTCCCAGAGGCCCTACAATCGTCAGGTGGAACATAATAAGTGCCGCAAATGCCATCAGCCCCGGAACAAAGACAGTGGCCACAGGCAATTTCATGGATACATTTATTGCCCCACTTTCGCAGGGATGCCACTGGAGCAGTGGCTGGAAGAAATGAGGAGGAAAAGGGCCGAGAATAAATGATGATTAATTGTTCTCCCCTTCTGTCTGCCCCGTCCTGTCTGTCTCTTCACATTTTAGTTTTTTAAAATGCTTACATGGCATTCAAATAAGGAGTGTGTACCGTCCCGTCCATGTAAACACGCTGTAGATACTGCTTGGAAAATCAACCACAGCTGGACTCGAGTGTCCCACTCATTGTAGACAGTCATGACTCACAGAGTCTGCTGCAGGTGTAAAATCTCAAGTTCAGAGATTCAGATTCAATCTACAGCATTAGTCTGTTTGAGGCTAGAGGCTAAAACGCCAAATATATCATTATTTTGTTTAAAGGAAATGTCCTAAAATGTGAAATGTGCCTTTTATTTAAATGTTTTTAGATTTTTTAATTGAAATATTTCAATAAATGTGTGTGCTTCTACTCCAATTCTTACATTTGACTTATTTCTTAGCAATTTGACACAGTAATATAAAAATTATATTACAATAATATTTCCTTTTTTTTTAGTAAGTAAAGTCTTATATCTAAAACAATTAGATGACTTATGTCAATACCACTTAACTTCTGAGAAGAAATGAAAAACAAACACAATATCACTTTCCTACACATTTTGAATGCTAAACAGAATCAAGTATTGTTTTCTTATTTAAAATTACTTTTTCATCTGAACAATCCAAAACACTTTGTGAAGTTTGTTTTGGTCCAGACAGGGTTCGAACCCCCGTCCTTCGGATCCAATCTTCCCCTATATGAAAACTAAAAATATTCATCATTTTGAGTAATTTCTAAAATTTTATGAAAACTAATGACTTGGAGTAACTTTTGACTTGCAGAAGGGCCATTAAGAGTTCTTCTTTCTTTCTCTTTTTTCTCTTTTTTCCTCTTTTTCCTCTCCTTTTCCTCCTTTTCCTCCTTCCCCCTTCTCCCCCTTCTTTCCTCTTTCTTCCCCCCCCCCATACAGACTATTGTTCCCCAGCTTTAGCGGAGTCGGTAGAGCATGAGACTCTTAATCTCAGGGTCGTGGGTTCGAGCCCCACGTTGGGCGCAGTGGTTTTAAAAAAATTCCAATGTGCCTGTCCTGTCCTGTACCTGTGCGAATGGCAATAAACATCTATTCAAATCTGTTGCAGAGCCAATCGCAGGAGCAAATCAGTATTCCATGATTTTGTAATATTGAACAATGTAATTGTCCATCAATTATTTTTTTCAAATCAGCACCTTTGTTCGAATCAGTTTTTAACGGCCACTGGTTTGTATCTGAAGAATTGGATTTATATGTTGCATAAAACTTCTGGGTTCAGAGAACAAAATGTCTCGTGACGTCACTACGTATCTGTCGTCCGCAGCAACCGTACATCTGTCCACACTGTGGGAAACAGCTCAAGTCTTCAACAGGGATGAAGTATCACATCATGGCTGACCACAGCCATCTGGTAAGAGTATTCATCTTCTTCAACGTTTAAAAGTTACACCTTCAGTTATTTTATGTAAGTCTGGAAAACAGATTAAAGAGATGTCAAGATCATTTTCCAGATAAATGAATGCATTTATTTCCCACATTACAAATATTTAAAGGTCACATATTCTCGTCCTCATCAACCAGTTTAAATAAGTCTCAGAGCTCCTCAGAACATGTGTGTGAAGTTTCTTGTTCTAAATCCACTCTGATCCTGTATTTGATCATGTCTATAAACCCCTCTATTTCAGCCCTGCTCAGAACAGGCTGTTTCTGTGTCTGTACCTTTAAATATGTAAATGAGCTGTGTCTGACCACGCCCCCTCTCTGGAAGGACTTGGGTGTACTCGGTGCTTTCTCGCTCCATGTCCTATTGTTTACGGTGAGAAGGCAGACTCAGAGGGCAGAACAAACACCTAGCTGTGGGAGTGTCACCCACCTGGGGGAGGGGCTACTGCCCTTTGTGATGTCATGAAGGGAAAATCTCCAAACGGCCTGTTTGAGCATATATTTTCTGAAAAGTGGAGCAGGCAGAAGACGGAGAGGATGGACTTTTCTTATCATTGGGGGGTTTGTAGACAGATTAGGGACACGTGTTATAGAAATGTTGAATAATATGTGACCTATAATTGAAGTAGAGGTTATTCTTAACCAGACTGACTTCATGTTTTCATTGTTGGTAAGCTCAGCAGTCGGCCATGATGTGTGATGCAGACTGCGCTTCTTTTTGTCTGTTTTCAGCCGTCAGCGGACGATGTTAAGGACCTGGACGATCGTGTCATCAAAGAAAAACTTCGTAAAATCCTGAAGAGACTCGGAAAACTAAAATGCTCCAAAGAGGTAAATCAGAATCATTTACAAAAGGAAATCAGAAAAACAGAAAAAAAAACATGATGTTGGTGTAATGATTTATTTTTCTGCTCTGGTCAGGGCTGTACCGCTGCGTTCACCAGCATCATGGGCTACGTGTACCACATGAAGAAGTGTGGAAAGGAGGAGTCTGAGCTGGAGAAAATGCTGCTGAACTGTTCTCACTGCGGGAAGACATACAAATCGAAGGCCGGTCTGGAGTACCACCTGAAATCAGAGCATGCTCCAGTGAGTCTTTAGTCTAAAGTCACATCTGATGACTAAAGAAACAGTTTAGATAGCAGATAACGTATGAAGCTTAAAGTATAAAACACATTCTTACCCCCTCCTCCAGACGCCCCTGAAGACCGAGGACGACGAGGCTCTGAAGGCCCAGAAGGAGGCCAACCCGGAGAGGACGGCGAGCGGCAGGGTGCAGCGAGCGTCGGCTCAGGTGGCAAACTTCCACCTGGCGGAGATCGCCAACAACGATCTGCCCAAAGACTGGCCCAAGAGGAAGTTCCAGTCGGACCTGGTGCCAGATGACAAAAAGGCGTGTTTAAGAAAACAGGATATCTGCGGATGTCTTTTATAGTTCTGAGATATTTAGACATTTCAACCAGCTAGCTGGAGAGGGTTGTTGGAGGAAACAAGTAATGTAGAAAATGGTTAAAAACGGCAAAAGTCAGGCCTTCATTGACCTCCTCTTTTTTATTAATTTACTTTCTTTTGGTTTTCACAGTTGAAATATTCCCGACCCGGCCTGCCCGCCTTCAGCCAGGAGGTGCTTAGAAAGTGGAAGAACGAGGTGAAGCTGCAGAGAAAAGTCCACTGTCCCAACCAGGTAGGAAAGACAAGTAACAACCATATTTTAAGTTTGAAGTCAGAGTCAACATCAGAGTCTGTGTGCTCAGCCTGGTCAGTGGAATAGTGTTTAATAAGTGATATGTTATAAATTAAGAGATATATCCCTTTTCTGTTCAGTGCTATTGTTTGTCCTGAAACGTATCCTGTGTCCTCCTCAGGGTTGTGACTGCACCTACACGAGTGTGTCTGGACTGAAAGCTCATCTGGGACTCTGCACAAGGGTACGTCAGCTTTTTTGTTGTCCTCTGAAAATAAAAGGTGCAAAAAAAAAACGTTTTAGAAATGTTTTTTTGGAGTAAAGGATACCATGCATAAAAAAAAGGTAAATATCATAAGAGTGTGATGTGTTATGGCCGGCCTAGTGGAAACCAGACGCAGCATAACTGTGACCCTCCGAAACAAAACAAATTTGCAGTCCACAATATATTTTTCTCCTAACAGCTGTAAACTCCTGCCTTCTGTGCAACACTCTGCATGTGCATTATTTCTACTCTTGCTTTCATTTTTTAACTTTCTGTGCAGAACTCATTTCTTTCATTCTCTGAGCTCTGTGCAAATCTTATTCCACCAATACTCCCCCCTTTTCAGTTTTCGTTGCTTTTTTCTTATTTTGTTCATATTCTATATATTTCTCCTTTGTGTATGAGAACAACAGGATTCATGAAGTGTTTTCTGATCCTTCTTTCAGGGCGACTTTGAGGCTGGTAAATACAGATGTCTGATCTGCAACAAAGAGTTTAACTCTGAGAGTGGAGTCAAATACCACATCAACTCTGTCCATTCACAGGTAATAACAACTACCTGTCTCCTCGTTTGGATGGCTTTCTGTTTGTTTATTTGGATTGTATGGAGATGCCATTTGATGTAACTTTGTGTTCAGTAGTTGCCACCTTATGATATGATAAGATATGATACGATGTGATGTGGCACGCTGTGAGGTGATACGATGCACTTTATCGTCCCCTTGGGAAAGTGTGTTTTGGGACTTTTTACCCACCTATAGATCGTTTGCTCTGGTCTGAATCGTGAACCAATTTGTCACATTGTTGCATAATCACCTTAAAATTGGTCTGTGTTCGCACGTGGACATTTACAAGCCGACCCAAATGTGTGATGAGCGAGGAAACTGCTCTCTGATTGGTCGGAATTTCTAGTGAGAAAAAAATTCCAAAGATAAACACAGATTAGTTGTCTCCTGATTGGCTGCTCCAAAGACACTTTTCAATTCCTAAAATGGACAGACAACTGCACGGAGTGATGTCGCCTCTGCTCATTGGTTTATATAAATGATTGCATTCATCACAGTGGGCAAACCATACCAAAATGAGGCTCTACCACAACCACAAACAACATGTATTACCCAAGATCTGCTTAAAAAAACACAACATAAAAAGAGAAAAAGATGAGAACACCATGACGCTGTAGCACAACCTGAAGAAACCTTATCTAAAACACAAATCTAATCGTACTCTGACCCCGTCTTGTCCTTACTCTCCTCCTCCTCACAGGACTGGTTTGTGACCAACAAAAAAGCCTCCAAGAAGTTTGAAAAGTTCCTCAAAAGTCAACCCAAGGAGTTCGCCCACAGCGTGGACAAGCAGAACATGGATCAGTACCACCACAACCACCACCTTCAGCATCATCATCAGCAGCTTCACCATCCTCACCATCAGCATCAGCATCATCATCATCATCATCTTCATCACCATCACCAGCAGCAGCAGCAGCAGCAGCATCAGATCCAGCACCAACACCTGCAGCACCCTCTGCAGCCTCTGCATCACCTGCAGCACCAGAGCCAGTTCCTGCATCCGGAGCACCAGAGCCTCCCTCAGCAGGTGGACCCCCAGCAGCTCCATCAGCACATACTCCAATACACCCCTTTGGAGCCTGCGCCCGGGCCCATGTGGGTGGACATGGACCGCAGGGAGGACGAGCCGGTGTCGGAGCAGGCGCCCATCGAGACGGACCTGGACATCAAACCCGTCGAGCTGAACAGCGTCATCATGGTGGAGGAGAAGAGGAGGGAGAGGGCGAGAGAAGGAAGGTCGACGGGAAGCAGAAGGAGTGCTTTGCCTTCGGCGGCGGCAACACCTGCAGCTCATGCAGCGAGGCGGAGGCGGAGCAGCAGCAGCAGCAGAGCAGGCAGCAGAGACAGATCGACCAGTGGAATCTGAAACGGCCGGGCGTCATGGAGCCTCACCCTGATGCTGAAAAACGACAGAGGAACGCTTAAAAAAAGTTACACTTTCCTTCACCTGCGTCTGATTGGATTTGAACAGCGATAGAAGAAGAAGAAGAAGAAGAAGAAGAAGGGTGTTTGTCTGTAGACATGAAGACAACAAACCTGTGTGTCTCTTTTCACCACGGGACAAAACGCTTGAGAAGGCAGCTGGAGCTACGACTTATAACTTTTGAAAGTAGATTAAGCATTTATACAACTATGGATACCTTAAGAAGAACCTCAAAGGTGGCGGCGTGGATATATAAAACTGTATACACGTCAAGTTTGGAGGCTGTGTTTGTCCGTCTTAAAAATGGTTGTTACTGTATAGCCTTGAGAAATCTAGTATACTGTTTATCTGTGTGTTAACCTGTAACAGATTCTTTACACCAACGTTAAATGTGTCCGATTCTGTTCGAACGTTTGATAAACCTTCTCGTCTTTCATGTTTACCTACAAGGGAGCGTTTTAACCGTAAAGGGGAGGGTACTACAGTGAAGTATTTTGTTAGTCTTGTTTAGCTGCTCTCTATAAAAAAAGATTTTGTGCCTCTTGAGTATGATCCGTCCGTAGAGCGTCATACAACTCATCACCACTTTTACTTAAAAAGCTTTTTCTGCTATAATGAGCTAGACGAGAATAGTTCTCTCTGGTTTCACCCTGTCCCTCCCTGTGCCATCTTTAAAAAGTGCAGTTTGACTTAAAGGTCACATATTATACAAAATACACTTCACCATGTTTCTTTAACTCTAATATGTGTCTCTAGTCTGTCTACAAACCCCCAATGATGAGAAAAGTCCATCCTGTCCGTCTTTCCCCTGCTCCACTTTTCAGAAAATGTGTGTTCAAACAGGCCGTTTGGAGATTTTCCCTTCATGACATCACAAAGGGCAGTAGCCCCTCCCCCAGGTGGGTGACACTCCCACAGCTAGGTGTTTGTTCTGCCTCTGAGTCTGCCTTCTCACCGTAAACAATAGGACATGGAGCGAGAAAGCACCGAGTACACCCAAGCCTTTGAGAGAGGGGGCGTGGTCAGACACAGCTCATTTACATATTTAAAGGTACAGACACAGAAACAGCCTGTTCTGAGCAGGGCTGAAATAGAGGGGTTTATAGCATGATCAAATACAGGATCAGAGTGGATTTAGAACAAGAAACTTCACACACATGTTTTGAGGAGCTCTGAGACTTATTTACACTGGTTGAAGAGGAGGAAAATATGTGACCTTTAAGGTAATTCTCTGGCTTTTTTGTGACTCTTCTCAAAAGAGGATTTGTGTCGAGGTGGAGTGCAGTAAAAAGCGTTGGAACAGGAAAAATGCATAAAAAGCAAAGGAGTAAGTCAATCCATTGCAATAAAATCTAAAGTTAAAGCCTTTGTGGCAACATATTAAAGTTAAACTTTTAGGAAAACTCACAAACATTTACTTGTTATGTTCAAAGCGACAGGTTCAAATCCATGCACTTCTTCTGAGGTAATCAAATGTTCAATCAATACTCTGATGCTTTTTGATACCACGTGTTTTGAAGGGGTATACTCTTGATGATTGATGGTAGTGGAAATGTAGAAAAGCTCAGGAGGCAAAAACACGATGTAGAAAAGATGCTGCGTAACTCAAAGGAGGCAGACAAATGGATGACATAATGACCGTTCTTAGATTATCAAAAGGAAACTATTTTGCCAACATTTTTTAACAGATGAGTCATCTGAGTCCAGCTTCTTTATTATAAAGGTTTTGTGTTTTCTTCTGTCAGTCATGAGAGTTAATGAAGAGTCTTTGGAAATTTGACCTTTTGATTAACGGACACCAATTTTAAGATGTCACCGTTTATTTTTTTTTGTAAATGGCTGGAAGTCAAATGTTCATGCTTCCCTTTAAGTAAAACGATGTCCCTCCCTGAAACCCTCCTCAGTTCTCACACGTATCTATGGGTTACAAACAAGTCGGCCATGGTGCCTCTTTTGAGTTTTACAAATTTTTATCACCAGGTCCCAGAATTCACAAGAAAAATGTCTCTTAAATGAAATGCATTAAGTTCATCAATTTCTTCACTTGTTTAGTTACTTGCTGATTATCATCTTACAAACAACACCTTCATTTCAGAACTGCTTAAGAGTATCCCCCCCCCCCCCCCCCGCTGTTGA